GGGGGGGGGGGGGGGGGGGGGGTACTCGTTGTGTTTTGCATGCCTTAGGAGTTAAACCATTGAGCACGCGTCCTCTCGGGAGGACGGAGCATTAGGTTGGGTGGTTGCAGTTATTATGCTTTGCGCTCCATCTCCAGCCTGAGGTTTCCCTAGATGGTTTTAAATAGTAAACGAAGAAACGGCGCGCTTGCCCACGAGAGATCACGCCACTCCGGGGGTTTCGCCGCCGAGAAAGAGAAAAAGAGGTTAGAGACAGACCAGTCCATCGAAAGACTCAGTTCATCGGAACCTTCAAAACGGGTGGTCCTCCTGCGATTGCACATATATTTTCTAACAACTCCGAGCCTGACAAAAAAAAAAAGTTCGAACGCGGCAAGCCAAGCAAAGCATTGCCCCCCGTCTCCGCTCTCTCGCTCCGACGCCCTCAGATTCGACTTGGGATGGGTGGGCGGGGCAGTCTGTTTGTTTTCACGAGAGGAGGGGCCGCTGACACCCCCAACGCCGACGATTGGAAGATCTACGCCGCTGAGAGCGCCAGGTGATTGGCCGACCGACTGGTTGGAGAGTTAGTTTGTGAGGGCCATATCGCCCGGTCGGGGGGGGTGAGAGGTCGTGTGGGGCATGAAGGACTGCCCGTCTATGTACGTACGCGAAAAAGTTGAGTTTCGTCTATGAAGTGGAGAGGGAAGGGGCTCACGTAGACCCTAACCGTATCCCCCGAAATCCCACCGATTCCTTACTTTTTATCTAATATGTTTGCTTTATGAATACCTGCGTGGGCTATTGGAGAAGAAGGCTGTGCTCACCCCGTATCCACGTGCGAAGCCGGGACGGAATGACTTCAGCGCGAAGGATGCACGCGACCAGGATGCGGGGCGTCGCGTTGCAAGGACAATCAATACCCGTACACCTGAACGCCACGCGCTTGACAGCTTATAGCTCGTATCGGCCGCCCTTCATACCTGAACTCAGCCATGATCACAGCAGTCCCGGAAGTTTCTCGCGTCTCGCGTTGACCTCCACGCAACAACGTCATTTTAGCCCTTTTCAGCCCACGAAACCGTAGGTTCTGATGTGACGATTCGAGCGAAACCGCTGGGTGCCCACCCTCCCATGTGTCCACAGGCCGGTGAAGGCGAGAATCTTGGGAGCTGCGGCGGCGTGCGGCGCCGTCGCGGCCGGTGCGAGGTTGGCGTTCGTTCCAGCCACCGCCCTCGCCCTCGTGTCCCTGGTGCTGGTGGCCACCCAGGGGGGAATCATCCGGGATGAACCGGACATAGCGTCGGCGTGAAAGGCTACATAGCTCCCCGCTAGAGAGGCCGACGAAACTGCTCAGCAGAAGGAAGAAGGACTGCCGGTCGTCTTTCCCGCCGAAAATTCTGGAAAATTCGTCGGAAGGAACGCCTCCTGCAGGGAGAAGCGTGGGACATGCGCGCGTAAAAAAGGATTGCCCCACTTTTTTTTTTTTTTTTGCGAAGAACTTGGTGGGATGTTGGCCACCCGAATCGTAGCACCGAGAGGTGTTCCTTTCAGGGTCAGAAAAGGGCGTGAAATTAACGTGCAGTTCAGTTGTAGTAGTATTCCGTGTTTCGGGGAGGGCGCGTTCTGTCGTGTCACATTGCATGTTGTTTGCCCTCCTTGCTTGCTTTACGTAGTCGTTTGACCTTTGACCTCAGAGCTCTGTGTATGCATCCCTCACGAGACCACGCACCGCCGTTCCTACTCCAATTAGGGACAGACGCCTCCAACAACTTTAGGGTCTCTGAGGTGGTTTCTTCCTTGTTTTTCATGTGAAGGATAATGTTGATTAACAACCCTTCCTTGTTTGGCATCTATCTTCCCTTTCGGGCTCTGACTTGGTATGTTCTGCTGTACAACATTATTGTGGTTTCTCCTTTTGGTATCAAAATTTTGTAAACAGAGGGTTGCACTGGCTGCACTGCGTTGATCAACCTTGGCGTTGTTTCTGAGCAGGCCACAAGGCTGCATTTGCTCCGTTTGATTGGTTGACCCTACCTTCTGGCCAAGCCCCTTCGCATTTCGTAACATGGAGGAGACCGGGGAATTGAACCAGTCGCAGTCACAATGAGGGCATGACGGCCGAAAAGGAGCAGAACCAACGAGCAGATTGGACTTTTGAAGCAGATGCTTGCCGGAAAAAAGGAGCACAAAAAAAAAAGAGCAGAATGGGCCTGGGCCTAGTGACGCTCGGGATTTCCGTCGGAAAAAGAAAAAGATAAAAAAGAAAAAAGAGAAAGAAAAAGAAAGGAATTGGGCAGATGGAGAGAAGCAAAGGGAAAGAGAAAGACATAGTATAGACAGAGAAAGACACACTCCGTAGCGACAAGCAACAAACAGAACAACACAAAACAACACAAGACAAAGCGGGCCACTCGAGCCAGCCCATGCACGTCATCGCTCGCGGGGGGTTGGTGCAATGGTGCAGTGCCGAGGGGGGGGGGGGGGATAGGTCAAGCAAGAGGTTCATTTCGGCACGGTGTTTCGCGCCACTCGGTCCGCTTGTGGGTGCATGGCTTATATGTGTAGCTGTGGGTGCATATAATTTTTCGGCCCTCGTTAGTCTATTCCTAGAGTATGAAAGAAATGTTTCGCTTCTTGAAAAATAAATGGTAACCCGAAAAGACCGAAAGACTATTATTGTTCTTGTTCTTGAGGTCTCCAGATCATCAATCTATCTTCGGTCGTCTGCATCAACTTCATATCTATAATACACAACTACCAGGAAGATACGTATCTCCGGGCCTTTGCTTCTTCCTATCTATCATCTACAGTGTACATAGATAGGTCCAGGTCCGTTGTTGTTTTTGTCTTCCGTGTCGTGTGTAACGGTGTTTGCGAAGTTGAAATTTCAGTTTCATCTTGGTCTTTTTGATCCCCCCGAGCGCCGAAGACCGATGGATCTTTAGGATTCAATCTTTTGCTTTCTTTGCGGAATTGCTCCCAAAGACCGCAGGAAAGCTTGAATTCAGTCTTGCTCATTTTGGTCTTTGAAGGAACAATTTTTGATTGGCCTACACACCCCGAGATACTCCCGACGTCCTCCCGACACCGCTGCCCAAACACACACACCTTGGCCGCCGTAGACGACACCATGGCGAACCAACTACAAACAGCAGCAGTGCCGCCAGACCACAGACGGTCAGACAAACGTCGCTGCACCGCACACCCGGTGCGCATTGCATGCTGCCGACATGGTGCAACTTTTGCTTCATCTATATATAATGTTTATTATGCGTGGACAGAAGCATGCCGCTCTACATGCATGCTCATAATAAGTAACACATCAAGCCGCGGCGTGAGGAGGGTGAGGCGGTGAGGCGGGCGGCATAGATCTCAGGAGTGCGGCACAGGTGGTGGAGGCGGAGGTGATGGAGATGGGGATGCTTCAAGCGGCGTGGGGGCGTGAGGAGCTGCAGCGCGTGCGTCCTGTGGACCGTGCTGTGGTGATTTGTTTGACAGGAAACGATCGACTCCGTCGACGACTGACTGCGATATGTATCACAACTTGTTCGCGTGCTGTAGGGGTACGTACGTACACACATGCATGCCTTCACTTTTTGCGGCGCTACGCTTCCCATGCACTCCCGGTAACTGAACTGGGCCAACCGCCTGTTCATGAATTAGTACGTTGCTCCATCATCAGTATTCTCCATGACTGGGGGTGAGGGTGATAGTGGAGTATGTAGTAGTAGCCTTGTTGGGGTGAAAGCGGAAGCTCGGAAAGAAATATGTTTGTTTGGTGTTCCGAGTCGGCTCAACCATCTGTCTGCCGCCGCCGGCAAAGGGGCTCCGTCGTATTGAACGCAACGTTCTAGGAAATTTCCGTATGTTCAAGACTGAAATATTGCGCTCCGGTCTTCGCAAGCTATTACGGTGTTTGCGAAGATCGAATTTCTATTTGGTCTTGGTCTTTCGTATTTTTTCAACCATTTATGCGATGTGACGTCACGAAATCGTACCGTTTACCCTTTTTTTCCTGCTCACGTTCCAACATGCTGCACGGAGGAACCTCACGCTTGCTTCGCCCGTCCGTGCAGAGCTCTGTGCCGAACACAGCATGTAGTAGGTATGTACACGCTACGATGAGCCACCGAGCCACCGGACAGACAGAGATTATGCTATTTGTGCGCTCTATTTTTGCTAGCTGTAGTAGGCTCGTCTGTTGCGCCAAAAGAATGATGAGGCAACACCCACCACAACAACAACGATTGCTGCTGCTGTAAACACCGTGCATGCTGTCTGTGTCTCCTTGCGACATTTGTTTGCCGGCGGGCACAGGCCACATCGCACTACTCTCACTCATCATCAGATCACGCAATTGTAGAAGCCGATCGCCACGGAACCTTTTGGATTCGCCACCACGTGCGTTTGTTGTGTCGTGAGGTGCTACGCCACAAGGAGCAAGTGCGTGTGTGCAAACGGCGCCGGGCCTCTTTTCACCCTTCACCTGCCGCATGAGGCCCACGGCGTCTCCGTCACGGGGCGCTCGGCCAACCAGCAACATAACTGTTCCTACAAAGACCAAAATGAGCAAGACTGATTCAACTTTTCTGCGGTCTTTGGGGGCAATTAATTGCAAAAAGAAAAAATCCGAATTCCTGAAGATCCGGCGGTCTTCGGCGCTCGGGGCGACTTGCATCGTATTTTTCAAGTCAAAGTATGGTCTCCATCGAACTTTCAAGACTGAAATCGAAACCAGTCCGCAAACACCCTATTGACGTATTTGCGCATACAACGAAATTTGCTATACTGATGCCATGTAATTTCTGTTAAAAATAAAGTCTTTCCACCGTGCGCAAAAAAAAAAAACCTGAAGACGAAGACAGATGATCCGCATTTGGCCGTGTAATCTCGCCGCGCACATACATACATGCAGCCAGCCGTGGAGTTCGGAGGGGTCAGGAAAGATGTATGTGCACATACATATGCACCTACATTTGAAAATTGAAGCGATAGTCACACCACGCCCTGTCCTCCGAGATGTCGGCGATGCACAAATCCCTCCCCCTCACTGTCCTGATGAACGTGCGATCTACTCGTACTGTCTCCACCTGCAGCGCTCTGAGCGCAGCGCACAACTCGAGCTCTTCCGTTTCGTGCTCATCTTCTTCCTCGCTGCCAACCAACAGCAGGAAGGACAGCTGCTCACAAGAGGCAAAGCTGCTCATGCATCAGTTCTCCGGGGCTCATGGCGCCGTAGCGGCGTTTAAGGTTGACATCCCGGATCGGCCTCCTCCTGATTCTATCCATGACTACTTGTGTATAGGGGCATGGGGCGGGCACTGGCTGCGCGTCTCGTAGCCCGCTGCCGTCTCGTGCCGTCTCGTGCCACAACGGCGCAGCAAGCGGCCCAAACTGACGTGGACCAACCAGCGCGCGTGGTCGTTCGGGCGGCAAATTTTGCTTGCAAATTTCTCTAAATGGCGAAATCTCAAGACATATTTAGGCAGAAGTCGCGTCGGAGGAACTAACTTTAGATACCCCGAACTGGTCGTTACGAGCCAAATTTTGTTCTTCTGCGCAAACACGTCATTTATTTTTGAAACCAATTTTCAATCTTGGGCCGGAATTCCTTCAAACTTCCAAGACTGAATGGGAGACCATTTCGCAAACACCCTAGTGTCATGTGTATGTAGTAGAAGTACGAAGAGGCGCAACGTCATCTCATGTACCTTCTTTCTTAAGGAATAATTCCAAAAGAACAAACCTACCTGACCTGTATGTAGCAGCGCGGATCGGATGTCATATATTATTATTGTTTGTTGCCCCCGCCCCCCTGTGGGCAGAACTGCCCCACCACTTACAGCTGCTGCTGCTGTCATCTAGCGAAAGGAGAAGAACGAGCTCGTTCGCAACGACTACAACAGCAGCCTACAGCAGCAGAAGTAGTAGCACACTACAAATCATGGCGGAACCCCAGGCCGAAGGACACAAGGCAGAGGGGGAGGTCGATGTGGAGGGATACAAGGCAGAGATTCGGAGGACGTTCGCCCTCGTCGAGCCGATATCTGTCCAAGCCGCCGGGATTTTCTACCCAACGCTTTGGGAGGTGGACACGTCGACGAAGGTATGTACTATGTGCATGCACGTGTCTCTGGCGCCAGCGTGCATGACTTTTCGAGAGTAAAACGAGAGTGAAGTGTTGATTTGCCTAGCGCCTCAGAGAAGCACGCGTTGTTGCAAACGCTGGCGTGTCACTCGTTGTTCGGCAGTCGACTGCAGCTCGAACAGCTAGAAGACTAGACTATATGCGTAGTAGAGAGACTACTTGCTGAAAGCAAAGAGTTTGTGCATGCGCATGTTCCTCCCTATGTACGTGCTCATCTCTCCATGGTTGGTTTGTGATCACGGAAGGCGCGTCAGTGGGATGGACCAGTACAGACATCATTATTAGACGGTAGGACTTGGGTAGGAGACCGTGAAGACAACAACAATCTTGTTGAGTGTCCTCGGCAGAGTGGAAACTGTTGAGATGACAGCGGTTCTGTACACAAACTACTGCCGCTGTAGGACCGTCACTAAACACTTCGAGATTATGGAGATAGATGTGGGCGTTGGGGATGGAACAGCTACACGCAGACTATTTGGGACTGCTTGCTGTTGTAGCTGGTGTTTGCGGGTTGATGGGAAACGGAAAACTCCGGCTCGGAGGGCAATGGGCGCGATCAGCGACTTGCAGTGTATTGAGATGAACAGCTTCGTCTGTCGTCTTACAAGCAGTAGTGATCGTACGTGAACCCGCCGGTGCCTATGCATACATACATAAATACATACTGTAGTTCGCACGTTCATGCTGCTTTGCGTCCAGGCCAAGGGATGTAAGGTTGGTAGGAGTTTTACTACACTACTAACCGTTTCTTCTCTCGATTTGTGAGTAGACCGACTGATTGATCATGTCGCCAAGTCGACTGATTTCAAAGAAACAGCAAGCAGTGCACCAGAAAATGCACGAGAGACACACAAGACCATTCGGAAGGCACGGGACAAACAGAGTCGTTGATTGTCTCACTGGGCGGCGGTAGAGGCTGCTCAAAACTACATCACCTCCACAAGCCCCCTCTGAAATCAAGATAATTTCACACCAGACCGCTGTAGATTCAAGTCGGAAGAGCCAAAACGGCAAGGCGCTCATAAGGTCAGTTTAGCATTCGAACTGCACCTAAGTACTGTCATCAGTAGAGGATACCATGAAGAGGCGTCGTGTGTGCTGGAACATTCCCGTTTGCTTCTCGGGTGGTGATACCGAGGATCGTACAGCAGTACAGAACGCGCCACCACAAAAGAACAGCTTATTGTTTTGCGCGAGGCTCTACCCTTATTGGTTGCCTCAAACTGTAGAGCTGGTATCTACCTATCTAGGATAAACGGGGTTCTTGTACTTATTTGTACGCCGAATGCCCCATGCAGAGGACACAGAGAGGCAACAGGTCTTTCTGGGTGGGTTTCAACGTGACGCTAAGAGTAAAAAAATAGCGTGACTAGACTAAGTAATCAACACCAGCGGTAAAATCGGTCAACGCCCCCCCTCCCTCGATTCAAGTAAGTGTGAATACGGCCATACGGCCGGCCCCGAGTGCGAAGACCGGGTTCGTGATGTCCTGTGTGTACCGCACAGCAGAAGAACCGAATAACAATACTTCCACACAACGCACACAACGCCGCGGGGTTGGATCCTTGGGTGAAGTCTGTTGTTCCTGGCTCTCGGAGACACCGAAAATAAACGCCCCATGTGTGGTCAATAGATTACACCAGCGTGAAGGTACTTCACGCACACCGCGTTGAAAGGCAGGAACCAAGCACCCACGAAACACGGGCGACGACAAGACGAGTGCATTCATTCATCATCCGTGCATGCAGAACCTTTGTTTGTGTGGGGTTCGGGATGGATGGATGGACGGAAGTGAGTGGTGAAACTTGACAACAAGGTGTTGGTGGCGGTGATGGTGGTGGCGACAAAAAGTCCGCAGTTAATTGGGCAAAAGAACAGACGTCAGCTGGTTGACGCACACGCGCTTAAATGGTGCAAGACCTTGATAAGAGTGTGGAGCACGAGGTCCTCAAAACGGAATTCACGAGGGCGCCCGCCGTGATCCTGGACAAACTACTTGCGGCACGAGGACCATGCCAGCCACGTCCGAATCACGAGATTCCGAGTAAAAGGGGGTGTCATCAACAGGCAGGCATGTTTAACGTGATGGGGAAAAAGACGAGGAGGTCGGTGTCGTCGCGAATGAATGTAGTCCGGCACAGCTTGGAAAAATGCCGGCGGCTGCGTCCGTTCCCCGAAGCCCCCGCAAGCGTCACCGAAAACAATGTGGGAGACGCCGAGCCACCCGGACCAGCTGGGTCCACCTTTGCATGAAGGTCCCGTCATGCAGGAGGCTGCCCTCGTCACCACTTGACTGGATTCCTTCTCCGACGTCTTCACACTATTCTGGCAAATAATTCATCACCACCGTCGTCGTGATTCTGAGTTTTAGCGTTGTGTGTGTGTGTTTATATACTTCGAAGTATGTTTTATGTTTTTTTGTTGTGTGTTCAAAATATCGCCAGCGTGCACGAGATATATGGGGCGGCGGTTAGTCGCGTCGAGCTCTTTTCGGCTTTTTGATCGTTCGAGCCCCCGAGTCATTGGTTTTACTTCCGTCTTGACTCCAACGTTTCCGTGTGCGAATTGGTTGGACCGGCTCGATGGGAACCGTTCCTCCACGTGTTCGTGTGCTTATCATCCTTTTTGGCCATTGAAGTTGTACAAGTTTTGCTTGGTTTTCCTCCATGTACGTCGCGTCTATCGTTTCGACGGCCGTATCAGGTAGGAAATGTTTGCTCTTGCGTAGGTTCTTGTCGCTGGTCTTGGACGTTGTCGGCCCTTTTGATAACTCGACCTATCTATACAGCAGTAGTCAGTCGTACCTTCCTTGATCAGCGAATTCAGCTCTATTACCCTGCGGTCGAGTAATTTACCCGCGATGTTTTTCCCCTTGCTACACAAGTAACCTCCTTCCGCGCCGAAGGAAAGAGACCAGGCTAGCACATGTCCTCACTATCAGCGTACGGTTCCTGACGATGCTGCTCATGCTCCTGCTCTTTTGGTGTCTCGCGCGTGTGCGGATGATCCGATCGCCGAACAACATGCTGCCGCACGGAACACAGCCTCTGTTCAAGGACACCGACATGGACAAGCAGGGCGAGAAGCTCATGAAGACCCTGGGCGTGGCCGTGGCGGTGGGTGACTTTTCTCAACCTAACGTGGGGCTGTTCAAGCCTAGGGTTTGGCCAACATACAATTGATTGCTCGGTAACTACCCCGATGACATGTTGTTGTTGTTGTTGCTGTTGTTGTTCTGTGATGGGGGTTCCATCGACTCGTCCCCTGTACGGCGCCGGAGGGCCGTTTGGGTGGCGCCGGTTGCATCGGGTTCGTATTAAAAAAATAACGCTTTAGAGGCCTCTTCTACTTGGCAACGTATCATGGTCATATCCCGATGTCCCTCGCCCCCGTCCTTCCTCGTGAACACGCCTCTCCCTGTCGCCTGCTTTCAACAACCTCCGCAGATGCTTAACAAGATGGACACCCTTAAACCGATCCTGGAAAACCTGGGGCGTAAGGTAATAATAAATAGGCCAGGCATCGGGCATCGTGCTAGATGAGCTTGGGGCGTAAGATAGCAATAAATCAAATAGGCCTGGCATCATGCTAGAAAGACTGGTGGCAGACAACAGACGGGATGTGGCTTCAATATAGAGAATACTGAGGCCCGTGTCTACCCTGTGTCCCATATTGCATTATGCCATTCATCAATCAACACGCAGCTTGAATTCACGCAAGAGAAGCCAGGTCCCTACGCCGAAGTTCAGGGTCGCTTGGAACGGTGTTGAACGTTTTTTTCGAGCACTGAATTGATTGATGGACATCGATCGGTTGTTGTCTGAAGGGATAGCCGAATTTGTACCTGCGAGAAAAGTCGACAGGCAATCACTGCCGTCTTACCACCGGGGAAGGCGTACCAAACTAGCCGGGACGGTATCGTTCTACATGTGTCCACTCGCCGAATTCTGCTTTCTCAATCTTTTGGGTGTAAAGTGTGGCGGTAAACGTAGTAGGTAGTGGGCAGTGCTCATGTTTTAATGTGAGTCTTTCGACCAACGACCCCAACCACAACAACTTCAGCATCAACAACAACTCGACGTGTCTCCACCAATCAATCTCATCTCAGCATGTGGACTACGGGGTGACCCCGGAGATGTACCCGTCCGTGGGCAAGGCCCTCCTCATCACCTTCGAAAAGGGGCTGGGGGAGGAGTGCACCCCGCTTACAACCAAGGCCTGGACTTGGGTGTTCGGCATCATCTCGAGCATATGCATGTGAGGGCGAGAGTGACAAAGATTGGGGGGGGGGGGGGGGGCGGGGCGAAAAAGAGCAGGGGTGAATGGGGTAGGAGTGGGGGGGGGGGATCGCAATGACAAATATTTGCTTTAGACTTGTGCATATTTTCCTCCAAAGGCTGTTACCCGCATTTAGTCTCCGCCTTATTTGGCAGGTTAGCTGTTACTATAACATTCGGGCATCACCCAAAAATTGCGCCGCCTTAGCTACCAATCCGCAAGGGGGCTGGTGTGTCGTCGTGTACATTTGGGTACTCGAAAACGCGTGCAACAACGCCTCCTACCCAATTCCATGCTGCTTTGCCGGAGGGGGGGGGGCTTCGCACCGCATGGATTTTGGCAAAAATCAATCGTAATTAATCATTTTGCCAACCCCCGGAGCTTTAATTGTCCTGTCCCTTGCGGTACGGACGGCGGTTGTTGCATCGCAACTTACAGCGCCGCCGCGAGCGAGGTAAAGCCCGAGGAAAAGCCCGAGGAAAAGTGAGCTAGCCACTCCGGCGGGCTACGAGCGAGCAAGATCATCAACGGATACCACATACGAAAGTCCACTCACCCCTCACTCGCATCCATACATTGCGTGACTTGAGGAGGGAGGATTTCCGATTGTTGCCGTATTCTGGTTCTCTCGTTTCTTCTTCTCTGGTTTCCGGGGGATAACGTCCTACCCAAACCTTACCTAATGATAGTAGTAACGTTGAGTTTGTTATGTGGGTTGGAATTGGTTCCGCCGCCACCTTGGCTGGGTCGTTTGTGTAGATTGCGCCTGTGCAGACATGGAAGGAGCGATGTGATTGAATTTGGGGGGGGGTTCTTGGCGAGAGATTTTCGCGGTGCTGTGATTTGATGGAGTTTTGTCGCCGTCCATCCTCGAACAACAAACAGCAGAGAGGGTTGGTAACATTTGTGCCGTTTATTTTTTCTCAACCAAAAAATCACAAAATCACATTAGGGCTGTATCCACAGACAAGAGTCCAGGAGTAATAACTCAAGTAGTGTTGCACATGATACCAGGATTTGGATATACATATGCATGTCCTACAGCAGTTCAATGTAGTTAGGCAGCAGGTAGGTCTTTCTTGTTGTTCGAGAAATCTTCCGAAAGCCCAGGACCCACGGGTTGTAGTCTAGCCAATATTGAGTCTCCACGACGAGACAGGGTCCGCGGAGATTTCTGTGTGTAGTCAAGCTTGGTGTAGTGTATATTTCAGTTGGAATTATTAGTGGTTGAGATAGCTCGGGCAGGGGGTGCCCCATGTTGTCGGTGGTCACCACCCAACCAAGGGAGAAGGGGTTAACGAAGCAAGAACATTTACCTTCGACACCACGTACAATACAGCAGCAGCAGTGGCCTGGGTGCGTCCCGCACTGGCCACCATCATCACGGTTGGGCCGCCGTCGGAAGAGGAAGGGAACAAGACTAGTAGAGGTCAACTACGCAGCAGTAGTTCGTGAGTTGTTGTCCAGCCGGTCGAGCATGCGCCTTGATCGTCTCACCGCTGTGTAGGGCTGGAGGCCGTCGTTCGTGGACACGCCGACGACAGAGTTTCGCATAAAACCCTACGCGCCCACCATGTGTAGGCTAGACTACATTCAAATAGTGGGCTTTATATACCTTTCTTGCATTCCCCTTTTTACATACCACGCAAATACAAAAAGTCGGCATTTTCAGGGTGGTCGCAAAATCCGGACGTGTTTATCACGCAAGTCTCTCCTCGTGATGGCAGCCGTACGCTGCATTGGACCCAGGGTCTCGAGTCACAAGGGACCAATGTCGTCATTGGGCACATGCAGTAGAAGCGAAAGCATACAGAGTACCGCAGTAGTGGGAACAAGCTCCACTGCTATATTTACCCCTTGGAAATACATTATATATTGCTCACTCACACCGCTTGTGCAAGAACACTGTACGTACTCTACATACCAGGTAAATCATGGATAGCCGCAACCCTCGGGACTGCCAAAAAAAAACAAAGGCCCCACTGTTGCGACATAGACTGTGCCTGCGGAGAGACAAACCTGGCGCATGGCGCCGCCTCTGTCACACTTGTACAGCAAGGCAGGTCAGGTCGCTGTTGCGCTTCCCGCCACCAAAACCACGGCCCATGCCGGGGCGGCCGATCGATCCGTCGTGCAACAAGGAAGCCGATTGAAGCAGAGTCAGACAGACTACTCTAACCGACAATCTCAAGAGCCAAGGAAGACCATCGAACGGCGTTCACCCCGGTCCTACTACGAAAAAAAGGGTGGAAGTCAGTTTGTAGAGCGGTGTGTCGATGTGCCACCTCACTCAGTACTCCCCGTCCCTCCTCCCCGCACGGGAACAAGCGCGAGACAACACGTGGGTACCAGCAAGCAGTACACGACAAAAAAAAAACACAGCGGATATTTCAGGCAACCAGGCAAGGCTGTTTGGTCCAGGATATAACCCGACAAAACGACAAAGAAGCACCCTGACCACCGGTCGACAAGGAGTTCTTGGCCAATCTGAAATAAAAACTCCTTTCAAAACAATTGACCAATCAGAAAACAGCGGGCACCTTTTCTCTCTCTCTCTCGCTTGCGGAACTTCCAGCAAGTGACCGCCGTTCGCTCCGAAAGCAACCTCACTCTACGATTGTATGATCCGAAAGACGACTACAGCAGTCCTCGCCACTCCATCGTTCAAGTCTCTCTCTTGACACGATTAAACTTGCTGATCTGATCTCTCTCTCTCTCTCTCTCTCTCTGAGATGATCTTTCTTCCTGATGCGACGAAATCCAATAGAATTCGCACCCACAGATTAAATCAACAACAAGTGTCACCGGTTCACTACCCAGAACGCGACCGAACGCAAGCAGAAGCAGACCGGTAGGACCATGTATTACTTCTTGTCCGCGTCACCCCGGCTGGTACAGACCAAAGGATACCCAAAGGTACTAATAGGGTGTAAAAGAGAACAGACGGCATGAACAAAAATGTATACGAATCATATTATACGTGCACTCTTGTGCGCCATCAATTGGCTTGCGTGAGGTTCTGGTGTCGTAGCGGTAGACACGCCAAACGCCACGCATACATACCCTGGGGGTGCGACAAAAGGCACACACCCCTTCCCCTCTCACCCCGCCCACATAAGAAAAAAAATGTACAATTCGCGGAAGCACGGCTCGAACTATGAAGTACCAGTAACTAACGACCGAGAACCTTTCCTTTTTTGTTTTATCGGCGCCTTGTTTGGGTTGGTTTGGTTCCCTTGCGAACCAAGGAAAGGCGGTTCTCTTGCCGATTGGATGACAACGACGGTCGAACAGGGAACAGGGAGGGGATACTTGAATACAAGTCGGACGATCTGTGCCCTACGAAGGGACCGGTGCTTCAACAAACCGAACGACCCACGAACCAAAATTGACTTTCAAGGCCTCTCCCCTTCCGCAGCAGCAGGACAAGTAAACGTAGAGTTAATCGTTCCTACTCGGCCCGATTTTGTCAAACAAAAAGAATACTCCAAAAACAAATAAGCAAAACAATAAACCAAATAGACGAATGAATTATTCTGCTGGAAGAAACACAACGGCTATTACCAAGGAAAAAACATACACACATTGTAGACGCCAACGGGTTTCTCGCCCCCCGAACGCACAACAATCAGGACCACCCCTATATCCCATCCAACCAAAACGTGGGTACCCAATGCTCTTGACCATGATAATATTTAGTGGCCCGTCCAGAAGTCCTCAACGGCTTGCGAGACCTTCAATTCGTGGCACGAACAGACTCCCACACATGTAGACTAGATACGCTCGATCGACACAACCCCAAACGAGAGAGAGAGAGAGAGAGAGTCGCGGTTCAACAACGAACCACCGCCTGCGGTCATCTGCTCTGGTAGACGCCGCCGCCGCCTTTCGCATGTTCGCCACGCAGGAAGAGCGAACAAGAAACACAAGCTCTAAATCAGAGCGGTCTAATCATCGCACCCTGTGATAGTTGGTGCGAACGGTTCCGGTGGCTTCACCCAACACATCTTGGAATCGCAATACACCAAGGTGCAGTAGATGCTCTCGACCAAAGTCGAACCAAACAGAACGACAACTGTTGCGTCGTACTTCCGGGCGGGCGTGGGGGGTCAGCGAGCGGCCTCGCTCTCCCACAACGACAGGGTTGACCCGCACCACACACACGCAAAACAATGCTGGCAAAACCGTCATCATACATCGAACTCCTCACCAACCCCCCCCCCCTTAGGCAGCGGATTCACTCGGGGCCCCCGTCCGGGTCAAGAGCGACAGCCCGGCCTCATCGTCACCATCCGCGTCACCCCCCCGCGCCCCCGTCGCCGCCACAGTCCCGTTGCTCCCTCCACCACTGCCGGTGTCGGGGGCGGCGACCGGGGCTCCGTCGTCGCTGTAGTTAAGCAGCGACAGCACGGTGCAGCCGGCCCCGACTCCGATCGGGATGTCCAGCGGAGACCCCAGGGTGAAGTGTCCCCCAACGGCGGTTACGATGATCGCCCCCGAGGTGGCAAACGTCTTGAGCACGGCGTCCGTGTACTTCATGGTGAGGGCCACGAGGATGCCGCCAGCGCTGCCGAGGACAGACAGGATGCCGGCGCTGACGGTCCACCCCTGGAACAGCGGCCCCTCGTCCCACAGCGCCATCGGAAGGTAGAACACGATCGAGTACATCGCCAGCTGCAAGAATGGAAAAGAAGGGGGGGGGCGTACTCTTATGTTTTGCATGACTTAGCGGTTAGACCATTGACCACGCGTCCTCGAGAGGACGGGGCATTGTTCCCACAGGACCGATCACCGATGATATGATCAATCGTTCCTTCCTACTTTGCCAAAGGTGGATCAAAAATGCCGTCCCTAGTCTACCTATCCTAACGATATCACAAGGGGGGCGGGGGCGGGTGTTTGCCCATGACTCTCACGCACGCAGAGTGCGCACTCCGCACTCGTATGCAAAGCCGAGGGCCCCCAAAAGTAAGGTGGCCTCCGATCTAGATGCCGAGAGAGCGCGGCCGAAAAGGCACCGATGGTGCTAATGCTACTGCTGTGTGGTTGTCTACGGTGAAAAAAAAAAAGCTGGTGCTTTTCCTTGCGATGCGGCTCACCTGGAAGTTGCGGTCCCATACCGACAGGTTCACGACCCTGCTCTTGAGCACCTTTTCGAAGAACACGCTTACGAATCCGGACAGAGAAACCTACCATCGCATCGCATTGCATGCATGAGGAACGGAAACAGAAGACGCATAAAAAGAGCTGAGAGGTAACGGAGGAGCACAAGAGCGGAACAACTGGCGATATGCTGAGAAAAACTCAAGAAAGATGGAAAATAGGGTCACCAAGGAAAGCGAGCGGCACCAAAAAGTGAGAGCACGGAGAATATAATAGTCCTATCCTACGCCCCCACGGCGAGAAAAAACAGCCACAAGTTGGTGATTAAGGACACATCTCCTTCCTACTTTAGGGGCACCATGTCTTCAACAATAAGCACGGTGCCCCGCAGAACGTAAAAGCAACAGCGGCGTAGCAGGTACGACTATTGGGACACTCGCCCAGTACTATGGACACGTTGAAGTAAATTCATGAGTTGAGTGTCACGTGTCGGCGAGCGGGATGACAAGTTGCCCGATGCAGGGTAAAGGGGACAAAGCAAAAGCAAGGGAACGTGCTCATAATAGTAGGTGCTATTGTAACGCTGCACACAGCCAATGCAACTTCCCACGGACGGTAGCTACTAGCTTCATCTACAACATACCTGACGGGTGACGCACGCATTTCTCTCTCACGGGCAAACAAAACAAACGACGAAACGTTGAACGTTGAACCGCACCAGGGCATGAGGGCCAAAGCCGAAACGTCACCCGAAGTGAGTCATCCCGCACCTCCACAAAGAGGGCCTCAAAACCAACCAAGCAAAGAAAAGGAATGCTGCACAAAGGAAGGGCAGTTATCCCGCATCTCCGCGATAAGGGGGCATCAATCACCAACCAAGCACCCAAAAAAACAACAACAATGCGGCACAAACAAAGTTCTCCCGCACCTCCGCGAGAACCGCCGCCACGCCGATCACATACTCCCACCCGACGCCCTTCTTATCCTCCTTTCCGGCCGACACGTAAGAGCCGTTCGACACTAGGGTGACGCCCAGCACAAGAAGGACAAGGGCCCGCCACTTGCGAGCGTGGAAGCTGCGGCCCATCAGGACGACCGAGAAGATGGCGGTAGTCAGGATTTTCATCTGCGGCGACCCCGGGGGGGGGGGGGGGGGGGGGGGGGGGAAAAAATTAAAAAAAGGAAAAAAAGAGAGGGG